CTGCAACGAAGGTGACAGGCTTACCCCTGTGAGTGACTCAATATATATGTTGGATTTGTACTTTGGTTTTCCGGGAATCTTTGTTTGCGACATTTCAAATAAGGATAGCAGCTTCCGCGGCCTCATCCCAGAATTACTCTGCCGTCTGCCAGCACTACGTATACTCCGCACAAAGCAATTATACATGGCGAGCGAGGGTGGTCCGGGTGCTGTGATCAGCCAAGTTGCCTCTGACCACGCCGTCAGCGCTAGGTTCGGTCATTTGCAAAATCCCTGGGTTCAACAACTCGATGCGAGTGCATAAAAATAAAAAATAAAACTGACTCTTGTGAGAAAAAGAAATACCATGCATTACTCAGTAACAAAAATAAAATTACAAAAAAAGAGGTAGTGCCATGGTTGATATGCATAATGGGCGCGAGAATATCAAGACGCCTGTATTTCCGCTGCTTGCTGTAGGACATGATCAGCATGCTGCTAGCGCCCGAGGTCCTCGCCATAAAGGACGATACAAACGGGGCAATGTGTGGGGATCATTGATGGACTGCACCAGAATAAGGGCTTTTGACCTGCAGCTTTGTGCTAACTTGCTTTAACTGTTGGTTCTGCCGTGGAGCGCAGTCATGTGGCCAGACAATTTTTATGTCTGAACTTGATCGCGGATCATCTTTGGTTTTTTTTTTCTTGATTGAAATAAAATTCGGACAAACAAATCTATTTTATTTTATTTTCAATTTTATTTACGGTTACTGAGTGCAGACAGTTTTTTGATGCTATAAATCGAGCACTGCCTCTCCTCTTTTTTGTTTACATTTCAAGTCTCGCTGTATTTTTATTTTTATTATTTTTATTTTCAAATTTCAATCAAATGAATCGCTATATTGAATCCGAAGGCTTTGAGACCATCTCGCCGTGGCAAAATTTACCAGACGATATCCTTCGGTTGATCTTTAGGTGGCTATACCCGACAACTGATCCATTGAAGATGAGTGCCGGGATACTCGATCAGATTGCAAAGTTTAGCAGCCTGGCCTCTGTCTGCAGGCACTGGCGCCGCGTCTCTTTCCCGATACTCCACAGCACAGCCATAATAATGATTGACGTCACATATGCAGTAGCCCCAATCACCCGCACACCGGTAATCTCAGCGGGCATGGCTTCGGAGACAGCAGTCATCGTGAGGACCAACGCCGATCTGGTCCTGAAACTTGGCTTTGAAGACTGTGCGCGAGAACTGCTGGTATGTATAGCGGGCGCATCGTTGTCGCCAGGTGCTCTATTGCGAGCACTGAACACAGCGGGGCTGAGTCGGACGGTATGGATGGGGATCAGCAGGCTGAGTTTCGGAACGCTTAACCCGGCAGGGTTTGCACATGAAGACATAATGCGCAGCGAAGACTATGGCATGAAAGCAACTCTTCGGCTGAATAAGAACCTGTCATTGGCACTGCCAGCGCTGCGCGAAATCACATATTTTGATTTGTTTTGCAGGACTGTTTACAATCGGTTCCCGCTGAATACTTTGGTTAACGAGCGGATCGGCGGGCCGACCAAACTGTGTGCGCTGAGGTTCTATGTTGATATACCGCCTGCGCTGGGGAATTACCAGGGGCAGCCGATTGAAGTTCCTGTGGTGCATATCAGTGGAATTAATTTGATGCGGCCCGTGCGCGTGCCAGCCATGGTGGCCAGTGCACTTGTAGAACTGACATTGACGTCGGTTCCCCAGGCTCTCATTTGGCAGTCATTTGTCATGCCGGCTGGTGCATCCGGCGGGGACCTCGAGTTTTCTTGTTTGCGGTCGCTCACGCTCATGTTCTTCTGGCGGTACTCTTTCGGAGCGCCGCCCAGAAACATGATGTTTGATGATACCTCGTCTGACGATAACAGGGACAATGGCTCGACAACCGGCGACTCTGTCTTTCTGAGAGACGACGAGCAGGAGATGGCGATGGGTGACGGATACATGGTGTCCTCTGTGTACGGACGACCGCGGTTTCCGGCGTTAGAGAAACTGGACGTGCATCGGTTTTCGGGCGACACGCAGCGGTTTCTGTCTCTGTTTGCTGCGAGCCCGCTCAAGTCACTGGTTGTCGCCGGGCTGCAGTCAGAGATCCCGGAGGATATCAACTTTGCGGATTTCGCGAGCTTGGAAAACCTGGATATCCGGTATATTGGCATGGAGGGCTCGGCTGTCGGCAGCCAGTATGTGGCCCGGTCGGTGATGCAAATCAGCACCACTGCGCCGACAACCCTGAAGCGGCTCTCGCTGGGCATGGCCATAGCAGGCTCGACCATCCCGTTTCCTTTACCACAGAGCAATGCCATGAATTTTGCCCACCAGTTGCGCTCGCTTCGAATATCGTCGTCTGTCGATCTGCAGGCCACCATGCTGCCGTTGCTGGCTGGGCTACCCAATCTCGAAAGCCTGTCGTTGGAATCCATTGTTGTTGCGCCTATACGGTCGATCGCCTTGTTGATCCAGGAACTGCGTGACGCTCCCAGAATTTTACCCGTCAATGAATCCGTGCGCAGACTGGCTCTGGGCGTTAAAGAGGGCGCGGAGGGTATGAGGCATTGCCAGGCTGTATTCGGCGGTGCGCTGGATGTCACTGTTAGTGATGGGTTGTTCCGTGGTGTTCTGCTCGAGTTGTTGTGCAGACTGCCGGCGGCAGGCATGGTGAGGGTGCATGGTGCCTCGGGGGATGCTGGCTTGCAGAAGGCCACAAAGATGCTTGTTCTTGCTGGTATCGTCGGGAAGAGGGCTGAGGAGTTAGGGCATCTGCGTGAAATGAAATTTTTGCCGTGGGATGCTCAAAAGTGATTGAAGCAGTTGCCTTTAATTATCTTTATTTTTCATTTTGCAACACGTGTTGGCCTTTAATGATTGTTGGGGGAATTTTTGGACAAATTAAACTTTTATTTATGCATGGATATAGAGAAGAAAGAAAAAACATAGAATACGAAATAAGTGCGTTTTGCTCACGTTTAAACGACGACGATGTTGTCCAGATCAGTGATGAGCTGGTCACCAGCCAGGGTCTTGCCGCTGAGGCTCTCGAGCCCCTCGCCGGCGTACGAGACCAGGGCAGAGATCTCAAAGCTGGGCTCCTGGCCATCGGCCGCGCGCTGCACGGTAGCGCCTGCGGCCTCGGCAAAGCGGATGCACTGGGCGATCAAATCGCTGCGCGACGTCTCGGGGCAGTCGACGCCGGCGCCAGGCGCGTTCTTGAGCGGCGAGAACTGGTCCTTGCGGTCGACCTCGAGAATAGCCATCTTGTGCACAAAGGGGAAGACGTCAAAGACAAAGCGCTCAAGCTTGATGCCATTGGGTTTTGTCGGCTTGACCACGTCGCCAGAGTCAATATCGACACTGGTGATCTTCTTCTTGGCAACGTGGTGCTCGAGGCTTGCCTCGATATCGGGCACGCGGTTCTGCAAAAAGTCCAGCGAGTAGTAGTGGTTGCAGATGTTGCCAGCGTTGTAGGCCAGCTCGCTGGCGGTGCCGGGGCGGGTCAGCTGGGCGGTCTCGGTGCTGATCTCCGAGTACTCGACGACGCCATAGCGGCCGTTGCGCATGCAGATGACGCCTACGGGCTCGTCCCACGACTTCTTGGGCACGACCAGGGCGCCACACTCGGCACCACGCAGCGCTGCGTAGCCGACAAACACGGGGTCAGCGACACGCACGAGGCAGTTGTCGACGCAGTACGAGTGCACGTGCTCGACGCCGCGCGCGCGCAGCCAGTCCAGGGCGCCGCTCAGCCTAAGGGCCTCGTAGATGCCGCCGTTGCCATCGGGCGCCACAGCCACACGGCCGCGGGACTCGAGCATGATCTTGCCGTCCAAGTCAAAGCACGGCAGCACACCCTGGTTGAAGAAGAACACGTCCTCTTGCTTGAGTCCGAAGAACGCGCTGTCGGCAAACTTCTTCTGCGTAGCGGCGCTCGTTGGCCCCGAGGTCATCACCAGCCAGGGGATCGTCGCCGGCTGCTCGCCTGCGCCCGCGGCAATCTGCTGCAGCCGCTTGATGCGCTCGGCCTGGATCTCAAACAGGCCCTTGCCCGACGGCAGGCCAATGTCGTAGCAGCCCTTGGGCGCCGACGACCCGAGGCGCGTGCCTTGTCCGCCGGCCAGCAGAATGACAGCCACCTTGTTCTCGCGGATCAGACGCATGCCCTCGGCGCGCCACTGCGCCAGGTCGTCGACCTGTGAGCCTCCCTCCAGGGCCGATGCAAACGAGCCTGATGCCAGGGGCTCGAGCTCCACGGACTCCTCCTCCTCCGCGCCCGCCGGGCTGCGCACCGTGCGGTCAAAGAACTCGTTGCATCGCTCAATGTCGATGCCGCTGAGCTGGTTGAAGAAGGCGGCTGCAGTCTCGTCCTCGAGGTCCTCGAAGAATTTGAACACGTGGGCTTGACCGGCGTTGCTGTAGCGCTGCTTCAGCGCGGCGAGGCTTTCAGAAGTGAATGATGGTGTGCCCTTGGCCATGGTTGAGCTAAAGCGGGTATGGGTGTGGTGTGCTGTGTGGTTGTGTGGTGTAGTGTAGTGTTGGGAAGGAGATAGAGCAAGGGTCGGAATGCTAAATGGGTGCAATAGCAAGGAGAAAACCAAGATAAGGGTCTGTCCGTGGTGTTATTAGCGAAGAAATATAGCAGAATGATTGAGTTTGAGTTTGTAGACAAAAGAAAAGGAAAAAGGAAAAGGAAAAGAAAACCATGACATGTCAAGACTATATAATACTAGCAGCCGTGCTGGCGTTTTGTTATTGTTATTGTTATTGTTTTCTTTGGTGCGGCCCAGCATTAAGAAAAACAGGCAAGGTGGATATAGAGAGAGAGAGAGAGAGTGTGTGTGTGTGTGTGTGCAGTAGGTGTTTAGAACAAGCGAAAATTAATGGACGCTTGCTTTTCTTCACTTTTTTTCACCCCCGATCCTCTTTCTCGCTTCTTGCATTGTTTCGGTCCGATTTTGATTTATGCGGTTCTGCTGTTGTCAAGGGGGGTGTGTGCATAAAGCGCATTGGTTATCTTTTTTGGAGAAAAATGGCATAGAGTACTTGCCTCTTTTGGTGTAGCTGATATGTGTGTGAGTTTGTACGCTGCTCTTGCTGAAAGAAGAGAGAAAAGGATAGAGAAGATGATGGCAAAAGTCAATTCAGATAATAGGGCGAAAATGCCTAATTATAAAACGGATGGAATAAAGAAAGCGAATGTTTTGAAATTGAATAGAAACAGAGGAAAGAAAGAAAGAAAAGGCCAATATGAGTTTTGATTGGAGTGGAGGAGGGAGAGCCAGGGCGTTTTTGTGGTATAATGGGCAGAGCAAGGGTGAAGGAAAGGCGCAGCGGCCACACCGTATTTATACGCCCCAAGCATGGACATGCCGCATGCATGTATGTATGCCGCGTGGGCCGGCGGAAATTTTGCCATTTCATTCGTATTTTCGCTCACACAACACGCACACGGCTTAGGCACACGCATACCAAACCGTCAGTGTGAGCAAGAAATAGTAAAAAAAAAAGGCTGAACAGCAAGATTTTCTCATGTTTTTTTTTCATCTCTCCCCACTCGCAGCGAGTTGCGCCTAAAATAGTCGACCGATCATCGATAAACAACACCCGACGGGCGAATAGAATTGTGCTTTGATTTTTCCTTCCTATTATGAACGTGGGGGCTATTTTAACGGAGAAATACTTTAGCTTGTTTGTCGCATAAAAAGGAGCTCTTTTTTAAAGGAGCACTTCTATACCACCACTGCAAAAAGGGGGGAGGGGGCCTGTTGCTTTTCATTCTACGATGATGAGGCAGCTCAGAAACGCAGACCCAAAAAAAACAATAAAAAAGCCCAAGCGCTAGTGATGTCATCGTTTTATCCGAATGCACGAAATGGCAAAAGTTGGAATGGGAAATGGAGGATGATGAGCATATCCAAGAGGAGGGAGGGAGCAGCTTTTGGCTTTCAGTTAGGATTTGCAGGCAGCCAAAAAGATTTATGATTGGATCTGCTTCCGCCCATTTATTTTTAACTGCGCTGTATTTATAGACACTGTCAAAATACGAGCTTTTCTATTTCTAGGCTCGTTTAATTTCACTTTTTTTGTTTTGTTTTCTTTTTTTAGATAATTCCAAAAAAAAATATGCAATGCTAATGATAAACCACAGCTAATTCTGGCTGATGTGTTGTTGCCGAGGGCTGCGGGTAGGCTGTTGTGGCTGTTGTTGCGGCGGCGTATCGACAAAGATCTCATCCAGCTCGACATCCATCTCATCCTCAATCTCGTAATCCGCCGAGCCCGCAGACGCCCTAGCTCCAGACTCCATAACCCAATACCTCGAGCTATCCCGATACCCCTGGTTCCTCGCCCTGGGCTGCACAATCCACCTGTCCACCATCCACGCAGCAAACAAAAACGTCAACGCACCCATCAAATTGGCCACAATATCGGCCCAATCAAACTCCCGGCCGGTAAACAGACGCTGCAATACCTCGCTGAAAAAGCTTACTAAGAGCATGGTGCCTACCGTTAGCGCCCATACCTTGCGTCGAGGGATGGTTGCTTGGAATGCAAAAAACAGGAGTATGGACATTGTGCCAAAGCCTACAAAGTGCAGTGCCTTGTCTGATACTGGTAGCTCGATTAGACGAGTGAATCCTAGAATAGCCAATAGAATCATCCAGAGTGCCAGTGCGAAGACGACGGGTGGCCGCAGGCCGTTGGTCATTGGTAACCGCCACATTGCTTGTGTTAAAAAGATGATGGATGGATGGATGTTGTTAATATATGTGCGGCGGTGTCATCCAGCTATCACGGTGGGTGATAAGAATAGCGCGTTATCAATTTATGCGCAAAGTCACGTTTGCTTTGGTTGTGGTGCCTGCCCACGTGCTATTGACAAGGAAATTGGGCAGTAGTCGGGATTTTTTTTTTTTTGCAGAATTCATAACGGTAATGGCAAATTGGTCATGTCTGTGTTGTCACCATTATATGAACATTGGAAATTGGTGGGACCTGTGTGACACGGGCATTTGGAGAATGTATATTTGAATACCGGCAATAAGACAATCGATTCAAGCTGTTATTGTGCAAAATGATACATGTGGTCATCAGGATATTGTCCAATGCTTAAGGCTTACTGAAAGCGCAAAACAAAAAAAAAGATGTTTTACAATGCTTTATTTCATCGTTCAGAGTTTGAAGTTTTACCCCCAAAAAAAACATGTTGTTTTTTTTTCTTCTTCTTTTTCTTCCCGCATCAGTTTATAAGACCCAAATGTTTTCTCATCCAAGTGTGTAGAAAGTAAAATAAAAATAAAATAAATAAAAAAGTAACCGCACAAACACACAAACTTTTCATTACGCATATTATTACTATCTCACTCTGGCATTTGCACTTTCATTTTCAACAAGAAGAACTTTAAATTATATTCAATACGTAAACCAAACCAAGTGGCCAAGTAACTTTTAGATGTCCGATAATAAACAGAAGCAAGCCGAGCGTATGGAAATTCCACACCCACCAAACTTTCTTGTGCAGTACGCGTCTGATCCTTCTGAGGAAACTGCAACGATATATCCCCCGCCCACAACCATTCAAATAAGTGGTCAAGCTGGGATGCCGTTCTACGTATTGTTTTCCGAGCGTACCACAGTGCAGCCAGCGCCCAAGGAATAAATATGTATGATTTATTTTTTTTAAAAAAAAAAAAAGCTTGTCAAAAACTATGACCAACCTTGTTTATTTTATTTTATTTTACATGATACATACACTAGATGAGAAAATAAACAAGCCAAATTAACAGTGTAATTTGCTTCTTCTTATTCTTGTACAACTACAAGATAGGCTAATTATTGTGTCAGCACGCGCATCCTGCGTAGGCAGCTCCACCTCGCGAATTATCAGCAGATTTTATTTCGCCCTGGCAACAAAAGCAGCAGCAGAAATTTCCGCAGCACCAGATGGAAAACTGGCGTAAACAGCCCTTGTCTTTCTCTATTATGTCCGAGCTATTACTCGATGAGTGACTAGGGCGCTGCCGGTTATACGCGGGATTGTGTTCGCCGTATACTGCTTGTGGTGTTGGTGGCGGGTGGTAGGCTGTCTGGTCCATATTTTTATATAGAAAAAGCCTGAATTTTGTTTAAATTTGAAATAAAAGAAAAATTGAGCAATTTAAAAAGACAATAAAGAACAAAGGAAAAAAAGAAATTAAACAATTTTAAACGTGCATTGTTAAAAATAAAAGCGGTGATTGAAATTGAAAAAATAGCATAATGTTGTCGAGGTTTTGCGAATAAACAGGCCGATTTTGGCATTTGCACGTGCGTGGGTTCTCATCAAGTTACAGGGAAAAAACTAAAAAGACAAACATAAGCATAAGCATATGGAATACACTTCCTGCATGGAATTTATGGTTATGTTTATGTTGATGTTATGTTTGGCTTTAGATGATAAATTGTATATATATATATTTTTGCAGGTTATTGGTGTTAGCGAGGCTAAGAAAGAAAAGCCAGGGAAAGGGGGGAAGTGGGGATTGTGATTGTGATTGCGATTATGATTATGATTTCGGACAGTGTCGGATTCGATCAAGAAACCATTGTCTGCCCAACTCGTTTATTTCATTCTTAACGGCTGCTCACAGACGTAATTGAATTGTGTGGAAATGCATTTCTTTACATTATTTATTTTTTTCAAGTTTTGATAGCCTTTTAATTCAAACACAATCTGCCAATGTCCTCGTGGCTCCAGGGAAGGCTGTTTTCGCGGACGCGCGACCGCAGCAGCAGCAGCAGCAGCAGCAGCGACACCAGCATCAGCCCCGAAACACCGCAGCAGCAGCAGCAGCAGCAGCAGCAGCAGCAGCAGCAACAGCAACAAGCAGCATTGGTATCCGCGTCACCCTCACCATTGGCCCCGTCCACCGACTCCTTTGACAGGCCCCACCTCACAACAGAAGGCGAGGCCCCAGCTGACTTCTCAGACACAACCGACGCTGACGCAGTATTTGCAAAGTTCAGCGTTCCAGAAGTGCGGCAGCACCTGGCGCGGATCCAGCGGCAGAGCTCGCAGCTGCAGGAGCAGATGCGCATGGTGGCGGCCACGCACTACCCGGAGCTCATCCAGGCGGCGGATGTGGTGGTAGGGATGGACGCGCAGTCGGCAGCGCTGAGCATGCGGCTGGCGCAGCTGCACGGGCAGCTCGGAATGGCGCAGGCGCAGGCGCAGGCGCAGGCGCGCGCCGAGGGCAGCCCGGCGGCTGAGCCGGCGGCGTTTGCCGTGGCTGCGCAGGTCAAGGTGCTGGGCGACACAGGGGACCTCGTGCGCCAGGCGCTGGAGGCGCAGCGCTTCGTCCCGGCGGCGCTGGTGTGCCTCGCCGCGCGGCAGATCTACGCCGACCTGTCGGCGCAGGCCGCCGTCGTGCGCGCATTCCCCGTGGTCGAGCGCATGTGGGCGGCCGCCGCGCCGCTGGCGGCGCAGGTGGCCGAGCGCGCGCGCAGCGCCATCGCCACCGCCGACGCGGCCGCCGACGCCGCCGCCGCCGACCACGGCTCCGACGCGTGCCTCGGCGCGGCCTGCGCGCTGGCGCTGCTGGACGGCGCGGCGTGTGCCGAGCGCGTGTGCGCCGAGTTCCTTGCGCTGCGCGCGGCGCCGCTCGAGCGCCGGCTGGCGGCGGCGCGCGGGGACACGCGCGGCTGCGCCGTGGCCGCGGCCGAGGTGCTGGCGCTGGTGCGCGGCGTGCTGGCCGACTACGCGCGCGCGTTCGGCGTGCCCGCGCCGGGCGGCGGCGGGCCGCAGCTGTCGTTTGTTGTGGCGACGCTCGGCGGGCTGTGCGCCGACGCCGAGCTGCCGCTGCCGCAGTGGGGCGCCGCCGCCGCAAGCACCGCGCCGGCGAGCGCCCGGCGGCCGGAGGCGCGCCGCCGCACGTCGTCGGTGGCCGGCGCCGTCCTGGTCAGCCCGCTGCCGCTGCCGCCGCCGCCGCGCCCGGCCCAGGCGGCGCGCGCGGCCGCGCGCAGCAGCAACGTGATGGTCGCGCGGCACCTGCCGCCGTCCATCGCGCGCTTCTGCCCGCCGGTGCCGCGGCTGCTGGACGGCGGCGGCAGCGCCGGGCTGCTGAGCGAGGCGGCCGAGGACGCGCGGCCGGCGGGCACGCCGGAGCTGGTCCGCCGGCTGCGCCAGAACGCGGCCCAGCTGGCGCCGGCGCTGGCCGCGCAGGTGCAGCCGGCGCTTGACCGCGCGGCGCACCGCGCGCTGGGCGTGTGGTGGCAGGCCACCGTGCGGCGCGTGCATGCGGCGCTGGACATCGCGGCCAGCCGCGTGGCGTCCGTGGCGGCCGCCGCCGACGTGGCCAAGGCGCTGGCGGATGGCGAGCGCCCGGCCCTCTGCGCCGCGTCGCCGCTGCTGCGCGACGTGCCCGCCGACGCGCTGTACGCGCAGCTGGCCGAGCCCGCGCTGCGCCGCCGCGTGCAGGGCCTGGTGGCGGCCGCGGCGGACGACGCCGTGGCGCAGGTCGACGCGTTTCTCGGCCACGGCCCCGGCGCCGCCGCCGCCGCCATGCATGCCGGCCACCTGCCGTGGCGCGCCGTGCCGGCGCTGGCCGGCGCGCTGCAGCTGCAGGCCGACCTGGCGCGCAGCCTGTGCTTCCTGCCGGACGCCGCGCAGGGCCTGGCCGGCAGCGTGTGCGCGCGCGTGGAGGCCGCGTGGGCCGATGCGCAGCGGTGGTGGGCGCAGCTGCGCGGCGCGCCGGCGGCCGAGGAGGCCGACGCCGCGGCGGCCTACTTTGTGCGCCAGTGGCTGCTGCTCTGCGGGCGGATTGCCGCCGACGGCTCGCGCGGCGGCGCCGTGGACCGCGGGCTGCGCGCATGCTGGGCGGCGCTAGCGCTGCACGCAATAGCGCAGAGGCTGCTGCTGCCGCCGCCGCCGCCGCCGCAGCTTATGGGTGCGCGCCGTGGCTGCAATGGGCTGATGCGCCGGGCGTTTGCCCAGCGGTCGGTGGGCGCCGAGCAGCTGTGCGCGCCGCTTGCGCGCCGCTGCGAGGCTCTGCGGGCGCCCTGGGTCGACGCGGTGGTGCGCGACGCCGCGGCCGTGTGGATGCGCCACTTCGAGCACCTGTACTTTTTGATGATCAAATCAGGCGCTCCCGGAAGGGCCACCCGCCGCGACGTGTTGAGCGCGTGGGCTGCGGCGCAGGCGCAGGCGCCTAGCGATCCAAAGGCGCCTAGCGATCCAAAGGCGCCAAGGGGTCCAAAGGCGCTAAAGGCGCCAAGCGCCAAGACGGAGCCGCGGTATGCGGCGCTGCGGCGGCTGGCGCTGGTGGACACGAGGAGCCAGGCGGGGGCGCGGGGTACGCCGGGGCCGAGCGCGGTTGTGCGGGCATTGGCCGTGGCGCTGCGCATGCGCGTGCAGGCCGTCGGCGGCCTGAGCGAGCTCTCCAATGGCGATGCGCTGTGGGAAGACGTCGGGACACGTTTGTGCCGTGAGCTTGGGTCGCTGCTGGCTGCTAAGGAGGCGGTCGACTGCAAGTGGGATCTAATCCAGCTGCGAGGTGATCTGGCCCATGTGCTGACGGACCACTTAGCCCTTGCGCCGGATGTTGCCGAGTCAATGGTATCCGAATGCACAAAGAGTGTGGGACAAGACTAAATAGCTTAAACTCAGGGGGGGGGGGTTTGATTTTCAAATAACAATTATCTTTCTCTACCAAACTCCTTTTTTGATTTTCGCCTGTTGGTTTTGTTTGATTGGCTGATAAACCAAACTAATCGGAAAGAACAGGACCTCGGGTTTTTTTTTTTGCAAGTGACCAATAATTTGTCTTTTCCTGTTAATGCTGCATGCATATAATGCAAAAAAATAAAAATAAAAAAAACCCAAGCACATGCCGCCCAAACTTGTTTATTTTTATTTTGTCATCCATTGCGCCATCCGAAAAAAGCAATGCTTTTTTTTCTTTTTCATCCGCTTCAATCCCTACTTTGCTTTGTCTTGTTTTGCTTTGTTTTCTCTTTCCTCAACTGTTTTTATTATTTCTCGCAACATTCAATTCAATTCGATTCGATTCAATTCAATTCAATTCGTTTCAATTCAATTCGTTTCAATTCAATTCAATTCAATTCGAGATAATAATAAAATGCTCGCTGCACTCAAGTCCGCCGCCGTGCTCAAGCCCAGCTCTCTGCGCCAGCTCGCCACCTGGGCCCACATCCCCATGGGTCCTCCAGACACCATCCTGGGCATCACCGAGGCCTTCAAGCGGGACCCGCATGCGCAGAAAATGAATCTCGGTGCTGGCGCCTACCGCACAGACAACGGCCACCCCTACGTCCTGAGCTCCGTGCGCAAAGCCGAACACTCCCTGCTTGCACAGCTGCAAGACAAGGAGTACTTGCCCATAACCGGCCTCGCGCAATTCACCGACGCCGCGACCAAGCTGGCATATGGCGCCCAAAGCCCTGCCTTGCAAGGAGGGAGGTTGGCTGTGACACAGAGTATCTCTGGCACCGGTGCCTTGCGTATTGGCGCCGAGTTTTTGAGCAAGCACTATCCCAACCACCAGGTTTATTTGCCCAATCCCACCTGGGGCAACCATGGGGCTATTTTCCGCGCTAGCGGGTTGGAGGTTAAGCAGTACCGGTACTTTGACAAGTCGACCAATGGATTGAACCTCGAGGCAATGCTGGAGGATGTCCGGGAGATGCCCCAGGGAAGCGTTGTGCTTCTGCATGCCTGTGCCCACAACCCAACCGGCGTCGACCCCTCGTTGGAGCAGTGGGCGAAGATCCAGCAGGCAATGGAGGAAAAGGGACACCTTGCCTTCTTCGACATGGCATACCAGGGCTTCGCCTCCGGCGATGCTGACCGGGATGCCGGTGCCCTGCGGATGTTCGTCGAGGGAGATCGTGTACCCGTGGTTTTGGCCCAGAGCTTTGCCAAAAACATGGGGCTCTATGGCGAGCGCGTCGGCACCTTCAGCGTGGTTTCCAACGACAAGGAGGAGCGTGACCGCGTCTTATCCCAGATGAAGATCCTTATCCGCCCACTGTACTCCAACCCTCCAGTTTACGGTGCCCGGATTGCCGCCGAGGTTCTGACCAATGAGGAGCTTCGTAAGGAGTGGTTGGCGGAAGTTAAGATGATGGCGGATCGCATTATTGGGATGCGCTCGGCTTTGCGTAGTGAGCTGGAGAACCTTGGGTCGAAGAGAGAATGGAAGCATGTGACGGATCAAATTGGTATGTTCTGTTATACTGGTTTGTTGCCTGAACAGGTGGATAGCTTGGCTAGGGATTATCATATTTATCTGACCAGAGATGGCCGCGTGTCAATTGCTGGTATCACCAGTGGGAACGTCAAGTACTTGGCTGAATCTATCCACGCGGTTACCAAGGATTAGGCTTTTTTTTAGTTGTTTCGTATGACATTAGGTAAATAATAGTGCCTTCAATTCAATATATTGGTAAAAATAAATAATTAAATAAATTGTATTGGCCAAAAAAATGTGATTAAATAAAAACTATTTACCAGACTATCTAGTTGAATGGATTGTTGTCTTTATGCTTCTTGTGGTGCCCAACACACATTTCAAGCCACTATCTTCCCTTTTCAAGAATCAAGATCGCCATCATGGCCACTATACACATTTCTGTTATTGCTGGCTGACATCAAGGAATACCATGATGTTTACAGCGCTGCCCACACAGCGCTGCCCCCTTTTTCAGTTAAGTAAGTAATTTTTAAGACTTGAATATATCGATTTAGACCCACATTTTTATAGAGCACGACACTTCTCATAATTTTCCCTTATTTTATCATACTCGGACGCAGCAAGAGCGCTGTTAAACTCATTGACCATTTGAGTATAATCCGCATATCTAGGAACCTCCCAGTCACGATTGAACAACTCAAGGTATCCCATTAATCCAAAAATAGCATCATCGTTATCAGCACATGGACCTGATGATCTGAGATCGCCGCAGAGCTGTAGGAGAATCGGATGCACTTCTTTGTAGGACTTGTTGCTGGTGTTGTACCTCGTAGTAAAGCCTTTCAGACCATTTTTCTCGGCTTCCAGCAGTCCCATAACAAGGGTTGCAAAGACGGTAGCGAGGAGCAGGAGGAATGGTGAGATGAATTTCATTCTCGGATCACGGATGATTGAATAATAAATATAAAATATATTTGGTTTAATAAGATTATAGTAGGCCAAATGTGTTGGAACTTGAAAAAAAAACTTTTACTTATCCTACTTTTTCATATTACTTCAAGTGCGCCATGTGTTCCTTTTTATATCATACTTTTATTAGTTACAAGAATTGGTTTATTTTTTATTTTTTTTCCTTTGCAATATCAACTTTCACACTTAATAAGCCACCGATCAATACAAAATCAACACAAAAAGTAATTATTGTTTTATTGAGAATGTCATTTTTCTATACATATTGAAATTATTAAATAACAATTTCGATTGTAAATAGGAGGGGAGGGGAGGGGAGGGGAGGGGAGGGGAGGGGAGGGGAGGGAGGGGTGTGTTGCTATATAAAAAAGATTACTAAACAAATATCAAATTGATCACCTAACCATTGTTTCTGTTAACGAGTGAATTGGATGATATAATAAATTTATATTATCTAAAAACTGGGAAAAGAGCAGAGAGAGAGAGAACTAGCAAAATGGTATTGTTGCTTTGCCCTTTTTATGATTGTGGGTCTTAGTGCTCACTAAGAAAAGGGCAACTGATGGGCGTTGGGCTACAAAGGAAATGTGTGCCCCAACAGTTTCCATTTGATTGTTTTATTTTTGTTAATTAAAATGCATTGTGCAACCAACAAATAATAAGTGGCCTAATAAAAAATTATTTGTAATCAAATACATTTCAAATATCGCAACAGGCATAATCAATTGTTTACAAGGTGGCTTTGTAAGAATATTACTTTGTTTTTCTTTTCTTTTTCAAACACTCAATCTGTACACAGGCTTTCATCGTCAGCTCAGTGGCTAAGTTGAATTCACACATAATTATTTTTGGTACACGTTTGATATTATCTTCTGATGCTATCTAGATCATTGGGTATTGTTTGTTTTGTATCATTATGTAAATTATTTTTAACATTAGCTTTCATTATTTTTGTTATTTTGCTGATAATATTTCGAGACTATCAGTTGATTACGATTAACTGATTAACAAGGCTTGTATGTTTAGCCAGACACTCAATTAATGGTCGCATAGTGACCCAACGCAGTTGTTATTGGAATATAAGACATTCTATGAACGTATAGATAAAGTATAATGATATAAAGTATATTTAATAACTAAGTGCTATTATGCATTGTGAAAGGCGAAGAGTAGGGAGCATATTGCTTTGGTCACTGTGTGACTTATTGTTTGTGTAGCTAAACAGCCAAGACTGGTTAATCAGTTGATCGCCATCAACCAATAGTTATGTTTTAATTTTGGAAAGGTACTAAAGCTCATGGGTGCAAAAAAAAGAAAAGTACTTTGGGCAAATGCGCCAAAGGAAAATGCTGGTTTATATATGTACAAAATAATTATGGACCGCATACGACTAACCTGACTGCCAAATATCCAAGCATTGTTTTTCGCACCCTCTTTTTCTAAAACAAAAGCCAAAATGCATATTGCACAGTCCACGACACATAGCACACCATTTGGCTGAATTTGTTTAGCAATCTGGCTGCAAAACCATTTGCTCGCTCTATTAGCCAGGCTTATCTAGAGTTTCACACTGCCAATGATTTGATCCATGCCTCGTATGACACGTTTCTGATTATCGATATTGTTTTTACATGTGCTTTAAGTGACCGTTACTAGCAGTTTATTTTTTTTGGAGGTGCGTTTTGTTTTCAAAGCGTGTTGGTTTAGCTGCTGCAGTTGCTTTTTTTTGCAGCCGCCAATTTCTATACCAATAGTGGCGTTAAAACGCCCACTTCCTTGTCATGATTTTTGTTGCAAAGTTGTGGTGACTTACAATTACAATTATTTGTACCATGCGATAATGGTTGGCGCATTCGTGATTTCATTGTTTGCTGAAGCACTCATACGGCAGAAGCAATTGGCTGTGATGTCACTCCATATAATGTTTGGGTGCTGAGTAATGCCTCTAAATCACAGACCGAATAACGCATATTATTTTTTACATTGATGAAATGAGATTATATGTTGCAATTGTGGCCTTTTTCACATTGTCACGCAGACATGGCACCCAACAGAAAATGGATATCGGAACGTAGCACCTACCCAACATGCTTTTCTGTTTGCCCAGGAAGAATGATAAAGCAAGCTTATTAATTTAATGCTTCAGTCGGTTTAAAAATAGCACTGTAAGCCATTTGGATTAATTGAAAAAAAGTATACTGACTTGGTTTAATTGGCTCAATGTTTAACAGACACGGCGTTCTGTCTTTAATTGCTGGGACACAAGTAGTATTGTTGCACGTGCTTTTGATCAACCATTTGTTTTTTATTATTAAACGCCACCAAACTCCAACGCTGACATGTATTAATTTCTGTAATCAATTTGCCTGTTCCACATGCACTATGCAACAACTCCAGTTATCCAAAAGCGGAAATGTCGAGTTGGAGTGTGAGTTGTAATAAAACAGACAAACAACAGAAAAAGTTCAACGCATGTATAGGAATTTGCGTACAATTGTCTATCGTATAAATTGCTCATTCTCAACTCAAAGTCCAGTAAACGTTTTTCTTTCTTTCTTTCTTAATTCATCACCACATGCTTCAACTTTAACATACTTTAAAACAAACTCGCTACCGTACACTTTGACTTGGATTTAACACAACCAACTTTATCTTTAACATACCACATCGCCCTTTTGACTTAATACAACACACTTTAGCTCCAAATTTACTTTACTATTTATTTTTATATTTTTTATCGACATCACTCATTTTATTTGTTAATAGCTATACTCTAGGTTAAACAAAAAATAAAATATCTCTCTTTCTCTCACCTCTCGGCGTTCAACACCAACGCTTGGTTATTCAGCAATGTGTTTCAAGCAATCTTTAACAGCGCACAAACCGTGCATGGCTAAGACGCCTTTAGCACTACTAGCAACAGTAGCAGCATTATTTACAACCTTGACAAAGTAGGCGTGCCGAATATTTCTACGATGACTCTTACTCACTTGTTC